TGAAGAAAGGATGAAACACCTGGCATAGACAGATCAGAGTGGGGAAACCAAAAGATTGGGTTCTTATTTCCACCTCTGCAAAGACAGACCCTGTAATCAATCTACGTCATGTGCAGATTTCAAAGACTGACTTAGTCTTCCGTTACTGTCTGATGGTTCTTGGAGATGCTTGCATGGGAAGTGTTCCATAAGCCCAATGGATTATCATATCCAAACATTAATAAACCAGCAGCCACAACTGAAAACTGCAAGGGAGGAATAATTCAAAGCATCCTTAATTTGAAAATGTGGCCTGTTTTCAATTGTGAAAATTGCAGGCTAAGGTTATAGAGAAAAAACCACCTCCAATATTAACCCTAAACTCACTCACCTTTAAGACACAACGGAGGACATCAGTGCAAATTAATGAACATTCATCAACCCTGACAACACTGTGAAACAATTCTATAAAACCCAGCTTTCCTGGTGCTTTTAGCCAAGTGCCCAGAGACCTGGCTTGTACAGCGAGAACTCCAGGCCACCCTTTGCCTCGTGTCCTCCTCCTTATCCATACAGCGCTTGTACAAAGTCCAGCATCCAAAGACCTCAGTCTTTCCACATAATTATGACAATCCCAAGCTGTAAGCATGTATTTAAGTATGTTCTCATTTTATCTCACAATATAAATTTTGTATTTGCAAATGTTAAATTTGGAAGTGAGAGGGAAGTAGGTACTAGTAAGTCTCAGACAGAAGGTGTGTGATAAACTAAGGAAGCATAACTGGGCTACGTTACGGTTCCTTAGAAATGAGTGTCGATACTTTAAATATTGGCTTACTCCAACACAAATGCAGTTATGATGATTAATAATAAAAAAAAGCTTAAATAGTTATTTCCTGACAAATATACCGTGCTTACGTATCTACAAAACTATCTACATCTGTGAAACCAGTGGTCTTTGAAAGGTAATGCAGCTGATACTGGGCAAAATAACTAATGAAATAGCCACGGAAAAAAAAAAGTAACTACAAATAAGCACAAAAAAAAAAAAAAGTTTACACCGGTCAAATATCAAGCTTTTCAAGACCATTATTCTGTGCCATTTTAAAATGCATGCATTTGCAAAACTGATTAAAAACATACATTGAAAGCCTAATGGATGACGAAAATAAAGTTTATAAGGAACTTACATACCAAATTGTGGCGTAATTGTTATTGTGACCACAATTAAGGAGACTTTTGCTACTAAACTTTTTCCAAGATCCAGCTTTCTGCATCAGCAGATACTGCTGCTTACAGCGTGGATAGATTAACAAGGCTCTAGTACTTAAATAGATTACGGAATTGCTTCCTGCACCTGTACAATACTATTCCAATATCTTTTCACAAATAAGCAGCTGTCTGCACAATGTCAACACAGTCAAAATGGAACCAACACCTTTTCCTGCAACTTTTCGGACAGCGTTCCTGTCACTCAGGCCCATACCCTGGGAGTCAAGGTTACAGCAGGTAAGTATACAAGATTTCAGGCCACACAACAAACGGTCTCTAAGTATTTCCACTTTCTTCTATACCAGATTAGCAAGATTCACGTCCTCTTTTCTAACCATAGACCTATCAGTTAATTTTCTCACTCTTTTGTATCTTCCGCACTGCAGCTTTCTTCTCCTTTTTGACTTTAAATGTACTTTTGCCACCTTTTCCAATTCATTTGAAAGTTGATATTCAAAAAAAAAAAAAAAAAAACTCATTCATTGCTTTGATTATAGTTCCTTGTGTTCTTCTTCTCTCTTCCTTACGGATTGTATCAAGAAAGACCTACTCATTTTCAGTGTGAAGGTGCCGCATGGCCTAGCCCCTCTCTGCTCCGTGCAGCAAGCCGGTCACCAAAATGCAGGGAAGAAAATCGGCGTGGTTGTCTGGCGCTTCAGGCAGGAAACAAGTTATCTGTGAAAATCCTCAGGGTGACAATGTTGCCCTCCTTTAAATATCTCCTCCAAATGTGATGCCTATGAATCATTCCCAACGTCGGAGACAGCCGGAGCACCTGAACTCCTCCTGCTCCTATCCTGCTCGCAGCTTTCCCGCTGCTCCCCTCCTGCACTTTCCCAAGACATTTCTTATATTTACACATAGTCTTATCTCTGCATTTAGATTATGAAGCTGTTTGTGCAAAAGCAATGTTTGCTTATGCATTTGTACTGGATGCAGTGCAATGGTGCCCCAGCCTCTAGGCACAATTATAACACAAATAATAAAATTGAACCGTTCACCTAAGATTACGTCTCCTGACAACGCTGTTCGTAAAACTGTGCACTCAGGTATGTCTTTCCTTCAAATAATAAAATAAAAACATTGTCCTAACACAATTCTCTACGAGCAGCAGCTCTCCCGGTAATGACACCACAAAAGAGTCTCTAGCTGAGGGCACAAAATGACTGACTCCTAGTTCTAAAGGAAACCTCAGCTGGTGACATACATGGCCTTCAAGAAGGCAAAATACCAACCCCCAGCATTTTCAAATACTGTTTTCTTCCTTAATGGAAGCATCCATTGCTCAGGAATTATTCTATTTTTTGCCTCTACTGTTTTAACGCAGGGCTCTTAGTTTTATCATTACTTAGGCTGCACTTAGACCCAACACTCAATGGAACATTTCCTATAATGGGATAAAGCGGCTGAACAACCTGAATGGCTAATAGTGATTTAGACCTGTGATTACAGTACAGAAAATGGTCCGACATATGCTCTTTTATCTGTTTTACATGAGGCACATGAATCCAACTGGAAAGCGCAAAGGGAGAAGGAGAACATATCCAAGCAGTTGGATGAAAGCAACACAAGTTGCTTTTACTTTACTTCTGCCTCCGCTTGGCTAATTGTAATAAGTATTGCATAAATAGGAAGACCTACAAAATAATTCCCTTTTTTTTCTCCAAAAAAGGATGCAATTAAAAAGCCTCTTCAATTTCAGTCTTCATTTCCCTTCAAAAAACTTACAAAATCACTATTCCTGATACAAAACTGGCTTTATAAGTGTTTGTGATGCACAGTGTATAATTATAACATCTTTACCAATATTACTGTTTTTCCATAAAGAAACCCAAGGATACCAAGCATGATCAGCTTGCAGTCCCACACCAGAGAGCAGCAACTCAAAAGAAAAAAATATATATTTAAACATTCTCATTTTTGTCTCCACCAGCTTCATTTCTGGCCCTTCCACAAATGTTTATACTCCTGTCAAGATTAGTAAATATTTTTACTAGAAAATATTTATTTCCTACTAATAGGAAATTACTATTTCCTACTAATACTGCTTGACAATATTCCCACAGCAACAGAAACCTAACTGAAAAAGGAATTACCTCTGTGACACCCCCTTTCCACCAAGCATGTGCACAGTCCCGAGCTGGCACAAAAGAAATGACAATTTTCACAAATAACAGTATTTGCAGAATCCTCGGGTGAAGGGCAGCTCACTTTTTATACTGTGGCTTTCGGAACAGCCCAGCACACTTCGGACACATTCTTATTTTCCTTCCTAAAACTTAATTTTAGCTAAAACTCAGAAAGTTCCCTGTATGAGCCTTGGGTTCTATACGCAATGCCAACCTGAAGCGTAAAGGCAGCGAACTTAAACAAATGCCTAAGTGAACGCCCGTGTCGACCAACTACTTTCAACTGGCGTTGTGAGGAAAACTGCACTGGGCTAAAACGTTAGATTTTTGAAGAAAGAGGCTGCGAATGACGCATCTCCAGCAAAAGCGGCGGGGGGAAGGGCAGGAGAACGGCGACATTAAAATGTTTCAAGGGAAAGTTTCACCGAGAAGCGTAAAAAAACCATCCCCACATCCCTGACTAATGACAGCTTCGTCCTGGAGCATCTACGCAGCGCGAATAGGGAAAACCAACCCAGGTTATTGCAGGAACTGTGCAGGATGCAGGCGCGCGTCTCCTCGGCACGCGCTCGCTCCTGCTGCGGGATTCCCTGCGCCAGCCCGGCCGCCCGCGCGCTCCAGCGGCCGCCCGCGCGCTCCAGCGGCCCCTCCGACACAAAGGGCCCCGCGCCCGGCGGCGCCGCCGCG